TGAGACCAAAAAATGCAGCAGATGAATGAACACCTTGAAGCCTATGTCTAGAATCAGCAGTTATTAAATGTATCCTTGCTCTGGAATGTGTTACTGAATATGTTAAAGCTGTAATGAAATGCTTCAAAAAAAAAAAAACCTTGAAAATAAAATTTGAAAATTAAAAAAAAAAGATATAAAAACTTAGTGATTCTCCACAAACTCTATCATCAAATGAGCATAAAGCTGCAAAACAATACTGATGATTCCACTTATGTCTCAGAAAACTGTGCTGATGACTGGCATAGACACTGTGAAGAAAATACAAATACTGATTGACAGTAAGACGAGACGACCGACTACCTTCCAATGGAGACCATGCTATAATTCCATACCCGCAGTTTGTAAATGTGGAAGTCACAGGAGAAGTCTGTAGCACAGATCACATGTCCTAAAACCCTGGTCTAAAAACAATAGATCAACTCAACCTTCAGCACAGGAATCTTGAAGTGAAAATACTGTGAACTAAAAAACTTGTAGTTCTTTGACCAGCAACTTTCATTCATTCCTAAAGATAAAGCTCTGGGAGGCCAGAAACAAGACAAGATGAGACATGGGATAGCTGTGCCTGAGGCAAAGGACTCAGGTGCAAACTAATGACACCATTCCTCCAATGTGAAGAGCAATGAAAGCTACAGACTGGCTCCAACATGGCTGAGGCTAGGATACACAAGTGACATTCCATAACACTTAAGACGAAAACTGCAAAGATGCCACCTATAGCTGAACCCAGAAATACAGCCCATGCTAATCACAAGCCCATTCAAAAACTCATTTGGAAAGAATGGGTGAAACTAACCAACAAGATTTTTAAAATTTGGAGATTTTGTACTAATCGGCATTAGTACACATCATCAAGCAATTCAGAAGACCTAACTGTCTGATGAAAGACATGCTAGTTTAGACTTCATATAAACCTAGCCCAAAGAAAGTGGACAACTTGTTGGGCGCGGTGGCGCATGTTTGTCTTGTAGTCCCAGCACTTGGGAAACAGTGTCAGGCAGATCTCTGTGAGTTCAAGGACAGCCTGGTCTACATAGTGAGTTCCAGGCCAGGGAGACCGTTTCAAAAAGACCAAAAAAAAAAAAAAAAAAAAAAAAAAAACCACCCCAAACAAACAAACAAACAAACAAACAAAAAAACGAAAAGAAAATGGACAACTGAAAGGTTTTAGACAAGGGTATTAAGTAATCAGGTTTTTATAAAGATTGTGTTACATACAGTACTGGTTCAAAATAATACTTGTTCAAAAGGAAAAAAAATGTCTAAAAACATACAGATGTGTTCCCATATATATGTGCAGATAATAGTGGCACCTTAATGAGGACAAGCATGGATTGTTCAATAAATTATATTTCTGATTAAAAATCTTTAGAATAAATTAGATTCTTAGCCTTGTTGGGTATATGTGCGGCTGTGTGTGTAAATGAATCAATCCCAAGTGCTTAATATAAAGAAGTACTATAAGCAGGTGAAGGAAACACATGGTAGTCATGAATTTAGAACAAGCTAACCCTAGCCCAGGACAGAGCTGGTTAGCAATGCCAGCAGGTAGAGTAATGAGCTTTTCAGACATTCTGGCCTCTTGTTGGCAATGGAAGGTAGAGATGGGAAGAGATGTGATCACGGCAAATGTGCGGGGAGAGGCTTAGTGAAGAAACAATTGTTGCTGTTGCTATTATTGTCCAAGTCACTTCTCTACCAGAATAACATAATTTAATTACAACCTGAGGAAATTTTAAAATATTTTTAACAGAAAACAAATGGGAAAACTGAGATCTAACTAAATGAAATTATCTATAGGATGTATTTTGCATAATGATGTATTTCATTACAAAAGATAATATTTCCATTCATTTACTCTTCAAACAAATCCTGAGCGTGCTGGGCATTGTTCTAGGTGCTACATACTCAGCAGTGAAGAAGTAAAAAAAAATTCTCAGATTTTATTTTTGTTGAATGAAAAAACATACAAGTGGTACCATATGTCAAATGGCATAGAATACTATGGAAAACAATGAGACATGAAAATTAATTAAGAATTTACTGTGGGGGCTCTGGAGAGATTTCCCAGTGGGTTAAGAGCACTTACTGCTCTTCTGAAGGATCTAAGTTTGGTTCCCTCCCAGCAATCAGGTCAAGTGGCTCACAACTGCCGGTAAACTCCAGTTTCAGGGGATCTGATGCCTGCAGCCTCCAGGGACACTGCATTCACGTGTACAAACCACTACCCGCCCTGTACATAATTAAAAATAATAAAAATAAATCTTAAAAACTAATGCTGTGGAGAGTGGGCTATAATTTTAACTGACAACAGAGGCCTCACTGAAATGACATGGAAACAAATTTATCAAAGAAAAGAGGGAATAAAACAGGGCATGTTTATGGAACCACAGAGGCCACTGTGGATGGAGAGCTGTGAGCCACAGGACAGTAAACAGGAGAGACAGGACATGGAGAAAACTATGGGATCATCTCTGTAGGCCTTGGAAGGGCCCTGGCTTTTATCTAATGATGTTAAACATTACTGCAGGGACGAAAGAAGAGGGTGAAATGTTATTTGGCTGTGTACAGGTCATGGAGAGCAGGTGAAAAAGGGCAGCGGCGTGGAGCACAACCAGGAGACTTTCAGTCATTGTGTAGAATGGCCATGTCCTGGGATGAGAGTGGGAAACAGGAGCTACTCAGACACAGCTAGATTTTGATTATGGTGCTTTTTATGGTAGAGGTTACAGGATTTGTTAAAGACAGATTAAGGAAAAAGCATCTTGGTCTGGGCAACTGGAAGATAGAGCTACCAATCTCAAAACTACAGAGACAGAAGAAACAGCAAGAAATAAGGTTAGAGAACAACCAAAAAACAGTAACAAAATGGCCATGTTAAAAAATGAATGGGGTGGGGCTGAAGAGATGGCTAAATGGTTAAGAGCACTAGCTACTCTTCCCAGCACCTACATGGCAACTAACAACCATCTGTAACTCCAGTTCTAGAGGATCCGACACCCTCTTCTGACCTCTGCAGGCACTCATGACATGAGTACACTTACACACATGCAAGCAATGCACTCATACACATAAAATAATAACAAAATATTTTTTAAATGAAGGGGATAATGTATCACTTAGCTATTGTACTCTGTGCAAAAGGTAGTAATTTTTCATATTGGTTTAATTTCTGCCTGAATAATAAGTTTTAAGATATTGAACAATTTTGTAAACTTTTATTAATATATGTATCAAATAAAAATCTTGATCAGAAATCTTGTGATCAGAAATGTAATTACAGTGAAGATTGATTTACTTGATAGTAAAAGTTTTATATGAATTAGCCTTCCCATGTGCTGTCAGCAAAATAACTGGCAATACTAAGCTTGGTGGCACACATTTCTAATGAGGTTGAGGCAGAAGGATTATAAATTTGAGGCCAGCTTGTGCTACACAGTGAGTTCCAGGCTAGTTTGGGCTAAAATAATGAAATCCTCCTTCAAACCCCACCTTCCCCCATATACACACAAACTGACAATAGGGATGGGCAACTTTTACCAGGAACGTATGAAGGACAGATGCCCTAGTAGAGTTCTTACAGTGACCTTTAATCTTTAGGCAAATTTATTCTTAATGAGATCCAGGGCTAACAATGAAAAGCCCATTGAGCTATCAAAGAAAGTTGAAATTGCAAACATTAGTACTATTATAGTATCTGCTCCCAACAGTGCAAAATTTACTCTCTGAAATTTGTACCTATTATCTGAAACCTTTTAGTCGTAAGGATTAAATGAGTTCACATGTGACCCTTAAAAATATAAATAAGGTGGGAGATTATTTACTAAAAACAATCATCTTTAAAAAGATGAACCCCAAATTGGTTTGATGAGTTCCTTAAGGACACACAATCAGTGGCTGACACCAAAATTTAACTTTTCCTTCTTGGTCCTGAGATATTTCACTAGTGGCTAGAGTATTTGGCCTCACAAAAAAGCCTTTATTCACATGAAAATCTGATAGGAAGAAGAAAAAAAAGTCCTGATTTAAGAAGTTGGGTGCTTCAATATTATTATATCATAATTTTTTCTGAAAATAGCCAATTTTTTAACTACTGCATATAGCACCGTATATGACACAAGAAAAGATGCTACGTTTGATGTCAGTTTACCTTTGAACTACTGAAACATGGCAGCCTTTGCTCTTTCTAAATCCTATACTACCTATTATTGTGTAAGGCAATAATTCTCAATTTTGTGCTGTTCCATAATTTATTTTCAAAAGAAAAATTAAAATGTAGTTTACAGAACAGAAACATTAGAGCTTAATATATGACCTTCTGCACAGTAAACACCAGAATCTTAATGTCTGATAGTAACCTTGGTTGTTAACTAGTCCAAAATTTCTAATCAATCCTAACTGTTTTATTTATGTACTCAGATCAGAGGAAAATTTCTGGTATTATAACCATACTGTTCCTTTCCCCTGCGTATAAGCTTGTATTACAATAACCAAAGTGCCTCAAATTTCCCCAATGTTTGCAACTCAGGTGGATTCAAACTTAAGACTTAACCATTAGCAAAGGTATAATTCAAAACAAAAAATTATTTTGGGGGGGTTATTCTCAGGTTTTATTCTGTGAATAATTTCTCCCATATTATTAGGGTATAAGGCACAATAACCTAATTCTGGCATCAGAAAATCCTGTCAATTCA